CTAGTGTAAGCACTGCTTAGCAACAACTAAAACATCGGTGTGTTATCAACTTTGTTCTCATCCTAAATCCAAAACACAGCACTGTACCAGCTGCTAGGAAGGAAATTAACTCTATCCCTGCCGAAACCAGGACAACCACGTACCGCTTTGCAGCTTGAAAATGTATTGGAGGCTAATGCTGAAATTTCCATTTTCTGTCCTACAGTTCCCTGACCTGGTGATCCTATCAAAGTAATGCAAGCTGCGCCCTCTCACACTAACAGCGCCCATCACGGATCCCCCAGCGCTTTCCTATTAGCTAGAGCTGCGCTGCTAGGTTTTTGTGTTTTTACTGCCAACCCAGTCTCTCCGGGAGAGATTTGTGAATTTTACTTCAATATTCAGTGGTTTGAAATTCTTTTTTGGTATCAGCATAGACTTTGCAGAGTGGCACCATGTGCACTGAGAGTCTGAGTAATTCAGGTAAAATTTATCATTGGAGTACACAGGCTTTGTCTGCCGGCCTTTCTGGCTGAGAATGAACTCTACTCTGCTTCTGTGCAGTAGGGACAGCAGAAAGCGAGAGAAATCTTGACCTGCACTGGAGACGTGGCAGGAGGGACTAGACTGAAGAAATTAATGAGGACTGTCCTCAGGTGGAGGAGAGCATGAATGTCTCGCCATACTTAATTGTTGTTTACGGTGTCTTCTCTGACTTTGCAAAGAGATTGGCTTGGCGAATATACAGAATTGTCTTTGCATGTAAGCACTCTCAAACACTCTTGCTTGTGAGCATGTCTTTCCATTGTGAGACAGCAATTCATGTAGTTCCGATCTCTTATTTTATCTCAGTGAGCAGATGTAAGGGTAACAAACTCCCTTCCAATAAACCCCTAATGCCACGTTGCTGTTTCGTGTCAGGCGAGGAGTAGCAGGGAGAAATGGAAACCTCGGTGCCAAGATGATGAAAGGTTTCCATTGTCAGCTCCAGACACAAGCACGTGAGCCATACAGGAGAGCAAAGATGACACCCACGCTCAGACTGGTTTGGGTAAACCTGTTATTTGAGATCCCTGAACCCCATCCCAGCTGTTTCAAAAATGGAAGCTTTAAATTAACAGTGCGCAGGGACAGGCAAGGACCATCTAGAGCATTTTTATATTTGCGGATAAATGCAAACTTAACTTCTCTCTCATTAAAATAATCATTTAACTTAAGGGGATAAATTCTGCTCCCTCTTAGCCAGCTTTCAAACTCAACTCACCATGTGTAAGCCAAGGGATTCCCTGGCATCAAAATTCAGAAGCATCATTAAAAAAAAAAAAAAAAGGCACAGAAACACCCTGCATACATGCAGGCTTTCTGGGACAGCAAATTGTCTTTCCCTGGTACTCGATTCAGTTGAACCAGTTCAGTTATCACTGGTTGGGAAAAAAAGAAGTAGCAACTCCTTTAGACAAAAAAAAAAAAAAAAAAAAAAAAAAAAATCCTCCATTGGGATTTT